TGGAAAAATTATTAAAATTTTGGATTTTCGTTTCATTAATTACTCCAGCGCAATCAAGTGCCATTAATGACAAGATGGCAATTTTTCCAGAAAAATTTACGGATAAAGGGAGTAAAAGTGTGCCGTGGAACCAAAACTAGGATGAGGATCAGGATGAGGTTAGGGAGGTTATTTCGTGGGGTGTCACGCCTTGCCCATTAATAACCTCTGGCCGCAAGGTCCCTTCCCTTTGCCCCCTTCGTCCCTCTTATGCCAGTGCCAGCGCACCAGTCCACCCCTTTCCCTCCTATCATACTACAGGCGTGAGGAGTTTGCAAAGCTCTTCTCGCGAGACGTAGTTAACAGGACTGTGCAGCCATGTATAATATACAGAAGGAATCTCCCAAGGGTGCTCGACAGCTCATTTTGCATACGCTTTCTTCATCTTTCCTTTTTTTTTTTTTTTAATCCCTCCACTCGCCCCGTGCGATTCCGAAGTGGGTCCAGAGACATGCACGTTGAAAAAATTATCTCGTTGAATTTTTTAACCATTTCGAAACATATTATCTTTTCTTTTCCGGGTACCGATTCGAGGACCCAGGGGTGTTTTGGTTGTTGTAAATTTTAAGTTTTAGGGGCTGCTATACGTGATTCGAATTTTTCCTTCTTATTTCGATTAGCGGTATCGAGCTTCACGTGCTTTAATTTGTGGGTACGTGGATGGGGTCGGATTCGTGTTCAGTGGGTCTGAGCTTTCAGGAGGAAACCTAAGCGTCGGTATAGTGTGCTCGGTTTAATGACGTGGAAAGATGCTCATCGACATTGACCCCTTGGTCTATTCGTGACTCAGAAATTTAGCGGATTTCGGTAGAAGTTGACCGTTATCATGGGACTATAAACAATCGTAATCGCAGTGGTCTCATTGGCCGCGAGCCAGCTTCATCTTACCCGATGCCACTGAACGGCTTAGAGCCGATCCAAATCTGGAGTAATGGAATCGCGTAGCTTCTCGATAAAATAACCCAAGAGAAAGGGCAGAGATCGGTCGTATCGTACGAAACTGCTGTATTTGGATTTTGAAAAAGCACAAAATTTCTTTGTTCGCGATAGAGCTTAAATTCAAATGAATGAAATACAATCCGAAATTCTTGTTCCGAATTCCGATAAAGGTGGTTTCGAGTACTTTCTCATAGAATTCATTGTGAATAGTATTTAAAGAGCTTTATCAAAATATCGGTACGAGCTTCGGTACAATTTTCGATGGCGGATCCTGTCGATGGATCAAAGTAGACTTTATGAAAAAATGTAATATTAATAAAGTTTACGTGAACCGCCTCGGCGCGTTGTCAGCAATAACTAAATACTGGTCGTAAAGGGGTGCGCAATAAAGGCGGACGGGAAAGTTTGAAAAATATGTATAAAAAACGTGAATATCGTGAAGGGGGTAGATCAGTATAAAGCTCCGAGGGAGCTTGCATTAAGATCAACTTTTAATAATCCACATGCAGTTGCGGCAGTTTCAATAAAGCATTGGGGTAGTATGCTCGAGTGGATAAATACGGTCCGATGGGTAGAGCTTTGTCGGTATGGGTTTGTATCTTCCACTTGAACATTTAATGGGACGAACCCTTAGGCTATTCTGACTGCGTCAGTATAGAGTTAAAGCGCATAAAATTCTTCGTCTTTTATATTTTCATTTAATAAATTATTTTGGATCTTTAATCATTTCTTTGTACGCAATTACACACACGAGTCAACTGATCTTTCGGTATCGATCATTATGGAAAATGCTTCTTCGTTTTGTTAAAAATTGAAAATTTCTTTCACGACAAAGGCCTAGGTCTGCTGTTGATTTTCCGGTATTGTCAACGAGGTAGAGACAACCCTTACTATTGAAAACATTCGACGAGGGATGAACCTATCGAGTGGAAGTTTTATTTGTGCATAGCTTTAGCAGGGTAGCAACAGCACAATCTTCTGTATTATTCTTTTTCTCGATATTTTTCTTTGAAAAATTTTTTTTGTTTTTTTTTTCCCCCCATATTTTTTTGGACCCTTCTACCCTAACTTGCTTCTCCTTTAATTTCTTTACACTCATGTTTCTCTTGTCTTTCTCAAGGTTTCTTTTCCCCGCTTCCTCCGTCCCTTGCTCGCGGAGTCTTCTGAATATTTATTTAGTCTGGCCAAAAAAAAGTAGTAACTGCGTAAAACCGTAATCGTCCGACCGTTATTTTTTCTATGAGAATTCGAGTCTCGGCCGATTTTCATTTTGATACTGTGAGAGGCTGCATTTGTTTCTGTTGAAGTTTATCTCATAGGATGGATCCATGACGTTTATATTTGTTATTTTTAAAAAAGGAATTTTGAAATTTTGCGATCGCTTCCTAAACAAGCGTTTTTCACGATAAATATTTTTCATGGATTCTATCGTGCTTCGTATACCTAATCTCCCTATGAAATATTTTTATGAAATGAAAAAAAAAAAAATGAGATAAAAAAGTAAAATTGCCAACGGTCACGTATTATTTTAGTTCCAATAGAATATACGGCAGTGGACACGATATAGCGTCTGTGCGAATAAACAAAATTCCAATTTTTTTTCTTTTCACAGGATCCATTTGATTATTCACGCCCACGACGGCATGTCGGAGAATTACTATGAATTCCTTATTTGTTTTTTTTATTTTATCCAATTTTCAGGATACAATGTAAATTACAAAAATAGCACGAGGAGTACGGTACTTGAAAGAATTCGCGAAAAATGAGCCAATTATCCGAGAGGATTCTCCCTGTAGATTTAGTTTACTGGCCAATCAGCTGGGGTTGAATGGCGAAGAGCGTAAACAGAGTTGTAAATTTTTCACGCCTCGAGTTTTTAATTGAATCTCATCGGGACCAACCCTTTCAGAAGCGAATCGGCCGATTAAGGAGCAGATTTAAGATAGAAGCGCTGATTACAGTCGGCGAAGTAGAGCATGGGTTACGGACCTGCGTCCAATCGGCTCAGGCGTAATTTTGATTTTTAAAAAAATGGCAAGGTGGTGATAAAAATATTGATTAATCATAATTTTCTGATTCGTTGGTTTGTAAATTTTTAAAAAATTTCGAGTATTATTTATTTTTTGTGTATCACTCTTTCACTTGGTTTCTCTTTGAAACCGTCAACCTTAAACCCGAGCTTAGTGCGTAGTAAAAAAAAAGATTTACTAAGGTTCATATAAAACTACCCTTACGTGAAGTATGAAGCCTCAAACCCTTTTTGAGCATAATATTTTTCAAAAAGCCATTTTATAGAGCATTGAATTTTTTGATGTCCTCTTAAGGGGATGTTTTGTAAAGCTAGACACTCAGCTACTGTCCTTTGCTTGGCAAGGGTAGGTAATCTCATTTTTCTCAATTAATTTTGACTCTGTCTGGGATTTTTGGAAGAATCACAGTAACGATCTTCAGACTCCGTCCGGTCTGGTATTCTGAAATTCGTATTTCAAATAAATATCCCTTTGTTTTTTTCTCTGATACCTTTTCTTTTTATTGCCCTTAATCTTTTATTTTCTACGCTGTCGAGATCCTTCAAAGCCTCGTGCGAGCTTTACGTGGAATCCTGGCAAGGAACCAGTGTGGTTCATTTCAATCACGTCTTCTTAGCAATAATCAAGCTTAGGAATCGAATTAAAAGCACTTAAGCTCTAGGGCAGGTCTGATTGAGGCTTAGTGGGAATATCTTCGGTTGAAAGATTAATCCCGTCAGGAGCCCTTTAGGACTCTGGAGGGGGTAGTACCATTTCTGACGACCCTTGTATTATTCATCACATAGGAATTGGACCCTTAGACGAAGTACGGATACTATAAATAAAAAGAAAAATCGCGCCTCCGCCATTGAAATAACGATACATTTTCGTACCAACGTAAAAATAAAATAACATCGAAGAACTTGAAGGACAAGATACAAGTGGCTGATTTGGCCGGAAGCATGTATCTATATATATTTTTTTTCTTGAAAATTCTGATTCTTTCTTCCACATTGAATAACCCAAAAAAAAAGTGCAGAAATCCCTTCTTCGATTTCTCAAGCATTCTGCGGCGATTGGATACAAAGAGGAGAAAAAAAGGGAGAAGAATGAAATAACTAGAAAGATGTAGCAAGATCGAGAAATTTTTAGAGTAATGGTCGCTCGTGGTCCGTCGATATATTTCTGTGCCACTACTGATTTTCTCGTTTCAATGAAAATATTGGCTGGGATTGTTATCGAAAAATCGGGTAAGACGTTATACTATCCTGGAGTGGACCAGTACGAATGCACTCATTGAATAATGCACCAAAAGCAAATACTGCAAGTGGGTATTCAGGCGGTGAAGCATTGTTGAACACAATCAAATACTCAACCTAGTGTAGATCTGGTATAAGAAAAAAAAAGAAAACAAAAGGACAAAGAAAAATTTACCATGAACTCGAAACTGGGTTAGACAACGTACCCACGTGTAGTATGCACACGTGTACGTGAAGTACGTATACATATGATTCAAAAAATTTTTTAAACGTGACTGTACCGACATCAAAAGTCGGTCCAGTGTTAATCTTGGAATGATCTTCATCCTCGTTTAAAAATTTTACGTCTTTGGGATTCTTTGCGAAACTTCATTTCCTGAAATACAATCAGTATTCATTTCTATATTTTCTTTTCTTTTTTCTACGGTGGAACTGGACCCGTATTGTCTTTGCTGTATAAAAAGATTTCCTGTAAGGATGGACCTGTGATGTAACGTCCTTCAATTTGGCATAAGCTTATACAGTTGGGGATGAAGTTGCCAGAGGGCTTGTTGGTAAGGGTGTAAGAGGGTGGAGCATGGGGAGAAGATGGTCGTCTAATCGATACTCTGGGGAGAGAAGCGTCGCGTGTAGAAGACCTTGAAAAATTCTTTATGCTCGTGAATTAGGGTTGTGACTTTTGTAAGGGTAGTTTTTGTGATGTCAATGTAAGATTGTGATTGTTTTGGAAAAAAAAATTGTTTCTCTTTCGCAGGTGAAAATCCGGCAGCGATGCAGCATGGACGAAGTGCTGGTTTGAGGGCGGCTTTCGCCCTTACTGCTGCTCTGACCTTGACGTCTCTACTGAGATGACCATGAGGCCATTTCGAGTCTTGCTTCTCCAGTCTATGATTTGATTGGTGCTAAAAAATCGTTTGCTCCCACACGTATGAGTGGAACGTGCCATATATGTATGTTATAAATATTATATATTATAATAATTGAGGAATTACACATCGGACTATTAGGTTGGACGTTACGGCTTTAGGATATTGCGGAGGGAACTTTTTTGGCATTTTTGGGTTTTTTCGGTTTTGTTGATTTTTTGGTTTCTTTTTTTTTCTCGAGTATTTCAGATTAACGTTTTTTTTTTTTTTTTTTTTTTTTTTT